CACAACCTGTCAAAATTGAACCGAGAAGAAATAAAAACCAATAACAAGTAACTGAACAAACCAATAACAAGTAACTCAATTGAATCAGTAATAAAAAGTGTTCCAAAAAAGACAAATTGAGAATCACTTGGCTTCACCACTGAATTCTACTAAACCATTAAAGAATAATTAATGCCAGTTATTTTCAAATTATTTTTTAAAAAATTGAAGAGAGTGTTCTTCTTAACTCATTCTCTGAGGCCATCATAACCCTGATACCAAAACAAGACAGAGACAAAACAAAAAAAAGCTACAGGCCAACATCCTTGACGAACATAGATGCAAAAATCCTCACCAAAATGCTAGCAAACCAAATCCAACATCAAAAAGATAATAAGCCATGATCAAGTGAGATTTATGCCAGGAATGCAAGAATGATTCAACATATGCAGATCAATTAATGTCATAGATTAACAGAATGAAGACAAAAACCATATGATCATCTCAACAGATGCAGAAAAAGCATTAGATAAAATTCAACATCCCTTCATGATAAAAGCTCTCAATAAACTAGGTCTAGAAGGAAAGTACCTTAACATAATAAAGGTCATATATGACAAACTCACAGCTAACATATACTGAAGCATTCAGCTAAGTCTGGAATTAAAACAAGACAAGAATGCCCTTAAATTAATAAATGATTAAAACGTGAAACAAGACAAGGATGCCCACTCTCATCACTCTTATTTAGCATAATACTGGAAGTCCTAGCCAGAACAATTAGACAAGAGAAAAAAAAGACAGGGGCATTTAAATAGGAAAGAAGGACATCAAATTGTCCCTGTTTGCAGATGACATGATCTTATATATAGAAAAATCTAGCCGGGCTCGGTGGCTCAGCCTATAATCCCGCGCATTTGGGAGGCTGAGGTGAGTGGATTGCCTGAGCCCGCGGGTTCGAGACCCACCTGGGCAGGCGAGACCTCATCTCTACAATAAATAAAAAAATCAGCCGGGCGTGGTAGCGCATGCCTGTAATTCCGGCTACTTGGAAGGCTGAGGCGGAAGGATCACCGGAGCCCAGCAGGTGGAGGCTGCAGTGGCCGGGAGCGGCCACAGCACTCCAGTCTGGGCGACAGAGTGAGACTCCAACTCAAAAAAAAAGAAAAATCTAAAAGTACTACTAAAAAACTCTTAGAACTGATAAATGAATTAGGCAAAGTTGCAGGATACAAAGTCAACCTACGCATTTCTATACATAAACAATGAGCTGGCTGAAAAATAAATCAAGAAGGCAATCCCATTTACAATAGCTATAAAAAAAATAAAATACTTAGGAATATATATGTGTATATATAATTTTTTTAAAATGTCAGGATCTCACTGTGTTGCCCTGGCTAGAGTGCAGTGACATGATCACTGCTTACCATAGCCTTAAACTTTAAACTCCCGGGCTCAAGTGATCCTCTCGCCTCAGCCTCCTGAGTAGCTAGGATTACAGGTGTGTGCCTTCATACCCAGCTAATTTTTTTATTTTTTTGTAGAAATAAGACCTCGCTTGTTGCCCAGGCTGATCTCGAACTCCTGGGATCAGGCAATTCTCTTACCTCAGTCTCCCAAAGTCAGCCATCATGTCTGGCTAGGAACATATTTAACTAAGGAGGTGAAAGGCCTCTATATGGCAAACTATAAAAAACTGATGTAAGAAATTGAAGGCTGGATGTGGTGCTCACGCCTGTAGTGAAAACCAAGATGGAGTAAGCCAACTACATACAGCTGGGGTCTCCACTGATCACAGCTATCCATCTTGGGATTGGATATAAAACGAAACTACCTGAGAACTCTAAAAAGTAAACAGCAGTGGTCTGGGGACTTGAGTCAAAATTTGGAATAATAACAAGTAATGCAGGGAGTGAGTTTCACATATTTGTTGTCCTCTTTTGTTTCCCAGCCCAAGAGCGAACAAATCACAGAACTGTGGAACAAGCACTAAAGACAAAAACTCCCCGAGAAACCTATTTCTAGCAACCAGCCCCTCCAAACTCTCACACAACAGAAAAAAGAGCCTCTATGTACCCAAGAGTGCAGAGGAGAATACCAATTTATCCTTCTCACTTCCAAGGCTCACCTCTAAATAACACAGGCATGGAACAAATGCAAAGAAGCATAGCAAAGGCTTTGAAAACTGGATTATTACATAAACCGTTGTCCAAGTCACAGACTAACCCCAGGGTGGCACACGTCCACACAAATTGCAAATTGAACTAACATTGCAACCAACACACATAGAAGACATGGCAAAACTTACCATCTGAGCCTAGTCCAGTTAGTTGCCTGCTACAACAAGCAAACAAAGTCAACATTCTGCAGAAGATATTGACAGACAGGATCCTGAGTCTCACAACATAATATTCAAAATTCCCAGGATACAATCCAAAGTTACTCATCACTTTAAACACACACACACATACACGAAAATCTGAGCAATTGCCAAGGGAAAGACAATAGATAGATGTCAATCTTGAGATGAATCGACAGATGTCAATCTTGAGATGACCCAGTCTACAGAATTATTAGACAAAGATTTTTAAAATAACTATTATAACCATCCTCCATGAGGTAAAGGTGAAAACTACTGAAATTAATGGAACAATAGAAGTTCTAAGCAGAGAAAGAATATAAAAAAGAACCAAATGGAAATTTTAGAGCTGACAAGTGCAATATTGAAAATAAAAAATGCATTATATAGAACTTGAAGATATATAATTAGAAATAGTTCAATCAAGCCGGGCTCGGTGGCTCAGCCTGTAATCCCGCACCTTTGGGAGGCTGAGGTGAGTGAATTGCCTGAGCCCATGGGTTCGAGACCCGCCTGGGCAGCGAGACCTCATCTCTACAATAAATAAAAAAATCAGCTGGGTATGGTAGTGCATGCCTGTAATTCCGTGTTCATTCCTACTTGGAATTCCTACTTGGAAGGCTGAGGCAGAAGGATCACCGGAGCCCAGCAGGCAAGGCTGCGGTGGCCGGGAGCGGCCACTGCACTCCAGTCTGGGCGACTGAGTGAGATTCCAACTCAAAAAAAAAAGAAATAGTTCAATCTAGTTGGGCGCAGTGACTCACGCCTATAATCTCAGCACTTTGGGAGGTCAAGATGAGAAGACTGTCTGAGCCCATGGATTCGAGACCAGCCTGGGCAACTTGGAGAGATCTCACCTCTACAATAAATCAAGAAAACTTAGTGGGCAGGATGGTGTATACCTGTAATTCCAGCTACTTGGAAGGCTAAGGCGGAAAGCCAGCAGGTCGAGGCTGCAGTGGTCGTGAGTGTGCCACTGCACTCCAGCCTGGGCAACAGAGTAAGACTCCAAACCCATCCCCCCCAAAAAAAGAAAAAAAGAAATAACTCAATCTGAATAACAGAGGAAAAAGAATGAACACAAAACAAGCAGAGCCTCAGAGACCTATGGGATAGTATCAAAAGTGCAGGAATGAGGGTGAAAAGGATGGGTAAAAAATTTTTGAAGAAAAATGGTTGAAAACTTCCCAAAATTTTTGAAAGATATAAATTTATAGATTCAAGAAGCTCATCAAACCCCGAAGCAAGACAAGCTCAAAGAAAATAATGTTCAGACATATCATGCTTCCAGAAAATAAAAGAATCTATAAAGTAGTCAGAAAAAAAACATCAGATTACATACAAGGGCACAATAATTGGAATGATGTGGATTTAATCAGAAAAGATGGCAGCCAGAAGACAGTGGAACAATATCTTTAAAGTTTGAATAGCAACAAGTATCAATTCTATATCCAGCAAAAATATCCTTCAAGGATGAGATGAGGTGAAAACATTCCTAGATGAAGAAAAACTAAGAGAATCCCTTGCTAGCAGACGTGCTCTAGCAGAAAGGCTTTAAAAAAAAGAAGCTTTTCTGGGCTTTACAGAGTTACCATATGACCTAGCAATTTCACTCTTAGGAATATGCCCAAGGAATATAAAACATAAGTCCACGACAAACGTTTCTATGAGTGTTCATAGCAGCACTATTCATAATAGCCAAAAAGTGGGAAAGATACACAATGTCTATCAACTGATGAATGGACAGATAAACTGTGGTATAGCCAGATAATGGAATATTATTCTGCTGTAAAAAGAAATACGGATACATGCTACAACATGGATGAATCTCAAAAACATGCTAAGTGAAAGAAGTCAGTCGCAAAGGACCAAATGGTGTATGAACGCACACGAAATATCTAAAATAGGCAAATGTATATAGAGACAGAAAGTAAATTAGTGGTTGCCTAAAGGTAGGAAAGGGTGGTGGTGGCTGGGGAAATAGAAGACACAATAGCTAAAGGGTGTGGAGTTTCTTTTTGAGTTGATGAAAGTGTACAAATGGACTGCAGTCTATTTGTGGATGCACAGTTCTGTGAAGATACTAACAGCCATTGAACTGCACACTTTAAATGCGTGAATTGTACGGTATGTGAATTGTATCTCAATAAACCTGTTAGAAAAGATAAAGTCACAGAAGAAAATCTTTGTCAGGCTCTACTTCCGACTCACCATGTGAACCCTTCTTTCTTCTGGGTTTCTTTAGAAAAATGAAGGGTGACAATATCCATGTCTCACATTATTCTCGTGAAAGTGAGGACATGAGTCAGGATGCTCTGCCAAGGGACTAGATTCCGTTTTGCTGAAGAAGACCAGAGATTCCTGCCAGCAGTCCAAAAGAAAATCCTCTCATCACACCTAAAGTCTTGGAAGCCCGACTTTAGACAGTAAAGATCCCCAGGGTCATTCGGAGAAGTATCTCTACAACAGAAGTCAGTCTTCCTTTCGCTCAGTCAATACTCCCTAAAGCAATGTGGGGTATTCCCAAAATAAACAACGTTGTGGTTAGGTGCCAAAGGACTTTCAACAAGTAACCTAAGAACAGAAGAACGTACGGTGGGAGGAGGAGACACGTTAAAGTCTTCATTCCACCCCATCCGTTTATCCGGTGAGCCCCTACTTTTCAAGCTCCCTCCCACAAATCCCCTTCCGCTTCCAAAGCTGGGTGGACAGAAAGGAGGACAGTGCCTGCGTTCCCAAAAGGAAGGAGGCTGCAGACCCAGCCTATTTGATCGTGAGGAGGTCACCCATCGCCTTCCCTCTCCCATCCCCACCTTACCCGACTCAGCTGCGCAAGTCTTCAAGCCGGGTGTAGATCGTTTGGATTCGGGTGGGTTGGAAACGAGGAGGGCGGGGCTAAGGGTACAAGAGCCAATGGGTGGCCACGTGTAGGTTCACGCCCCCTGCCCGCCTATCCTCGAGCTTGAGGTGCGTGAGACTTCGTAGGTCCAGAAACTGCTGGTATCTTGGCTCTCTCCATTCGCCAGACCTACCCCTCGAGTCCCGCCCGCCAGTGGCTGGAGATGTCTTCTCCACCCTTCGTGACAGAAACATACCCGTGGGCTGTAAGCAATCTAAAATCCTGAGAGCTCCGAACGTTAAAGGGAAACCTATTCCCTGGAAGCCTGGGAATCCCAACCACTTCTACCCACAACCCCAATCTCCAGTCGCTGACAGACCCTGATCTCCTTTTGAGAAGTACGTCAACTCAGTTATGGCGCCAGCCTCCCACAACTTCCAAGAGACCCCCCTCCGTTATCATCCATTGGGGAAATTTGTTTAATTTAGTCCCATGATAAAAGTAGTTGTCTTCTACTGAATAGTGATGGGACTCTTGGCAGGCTCAACAGTATAATGCGTTAGTTTCTCAAACTTGTGGCATTTACAGATGCATTTAGTCCACAACAATGTTGAAGTCACTGATGTAACTTGTTTTTTAAAACAACATTTAGACCTAAGATAGACTTATCCCTTTGCAGTAGCAAGCACATTAATACCCTATCTATCTGTGTTGAAGCCAACATTTCTGGAGTTTCCCTGGGCTAAAAACCCCTCAATAAGGTAAGTCTAGTACTCTAGCATCTGAATTTGCCAGGGCAAGGAAAAGAACTCAGTGAGGAAGGGGATGGGGAAGACACAATGACAGTGGTGACTAGGGAAGATGGGGCCCAGAAGGGGACTGTAAAGCCAGGCCCCATGAAGCCCTCCCAAATAATGCCCCTCCCCTTGGGAACAAAAGTGGGTCTGAATCCAGGGACATTAAGTTGCCGGTTGATATTGAGAGTTGCTTGTTGGATCTGTTTTGAAGGATGTGTGATGTCAAGCCAAATGAAAGAAGTCGGGAAGTCATACAACAGGTTGATCAGCACTCTGTTTTATCACCTTGTGGAACTTCCTTTTTTTGGACCTCTTTACTAGGCATTAGCTGGCCACTTAAGGGTAGGAATTTGGAAGGTGTCCTAGGCTTGTCCCTTCCCATGGACCTGAAGGGAATCCCATGGATGAGGCAGTATGCAAAGTATGTAGGGATAGGGAAGGTGACAACGAGAAAAAGGGTGATCACCAATAGCAGAGCCCATGTTGGGTATTGTCGAAGCACCTCTTTTGACTGTGGAGAGATGGGAAAAAGGTTAAGAATATCAACGTTTCCAGGAGAAGAGGAGGGATTGTGGAGGTGAAGGGTGGGTGGGGAAGCAGCGCAGAGGACTAATGAGTCTTCAGGGAGTCAGTGAATGGGATTACTGGGTCTTCAACCAAAAGTGGATTAAAGGGCCCCGCCCACACTCCTTAGGGAGTTCTAGGTCCTGGGCACAGAGGCTCACAATGCTTGAATCCCAGGCCACGTAGGTGATGGTCTTCATAGAAACATGAAGTATGATGGCCACTAACAGGATTAGCAGCACAACTGGACACAGACAGCACCACAGTCAACCATAGATGGGGGAGATGGGGTGGTCTAACAGGATCGTCAGGTCTGTTAGGAACCTGGGAATGGACCAGAGGAGTGTGGGAGGCCCAGTCAGGCCTTACTACCTTGAGCGAGTACTAATCCACCTTAGCATTTTTCACATACTCTATTGCACCTTTAAGTTCCTGATTCATCTCTAGTCTCATCCTCACTCATTTTATCCCTAGTCTGTCTTCCATCCCAACACAAGAAAATTTTTCAAACATTCCTCTCCTGTTCATGAGTACACAATGCCCTCAGGATAAAAGCCAAGTCCCTTTCCTTTATCCCACGAATATGGGAAAGTCTAGGATATGCCAGAGACTTTTCTAGGCTCTGGGTATCCAGCAGTGAACTACACAGACAAAAGAAAGTAGCACTTGGCTTTCAGGGAATGTCTTAGCTTCTTTCAGTCACATATCCAGCCTCCTTTAGTACTAAGAGGTACTTTAGTAGTAGGCGATATTCTCAATCTCAGTAGACATGGACTCTTTTGGTCTAGAGTGCCAACCTCCCTTTATCTGCCTATTAATCTGTCCAGAGTCTGCTCAAGAATCTCTCCTCCAGGACACCTCTAACTCTCCAGTCTTCCCTAAATAACTGTCTGTGCCCCTGGAGTGTCCTTGGTTACCTCTACTCTGGACTTACCATCATGTACTGGAATTGTCTGCTTATATTTGTCTTTCTCTTTGGACTTTTTTCTTTTTTTTTTTTTGAGAAGGGAAGCTCAATCTAAGTTATTCATATTCCAGTATCACAAGGCTTTCTTGACACAAAGTCTTAAGTAATGTTTGTTGAGTGAGTTAATATATGAGTTACTAAGTGAGCAAACTAACTCCAAGAACAATTATTGCATGAAAATGTGGAGTCTTTGGCCTTTGAATTATACCACTTGGATGGCCACACAGCAGCCTGGGAAAAAGTTAGGCTCAGGAGTCCATGGTATTTGGTATTTGGTTTGGATTCTCCCACTCTTCCATTGCACAGTTATATCTTCTAAGTCCCAGTCTAATGATCACATTCCCTTTCTTAGGTAGTCCTGCCTTCCAGAATCAGGTCACTTCTCCCAGCCTACACCTCTACCACCCTTGGCCATGGCTTGTTAGCTTTCACTTGAAATATTACATAATTCTCAACTCTTCTCCTTGCTTCACTTATGAATCTTTAGTCTAGTCTCCACACAGCAGTCATAGATATCTTTTAAAAAGTAAATCTGAACCAGGCTCGGTGGCTCAGCCTGTAATCCCGCACCTTTGGGAGGTTGAGGTGAGTGGATTGCCTGAGCCCGCGGGTTCGAGACCCGCCTGGGCAGCGAGACCTCATCTCTACA